GAAGGTCATGGTCTTGGAAGCCCTCAGGGAAGGTCCACCCTGTCCTACAGGGTTGCTGTGAGTCAGCATCAACTCGATGGCAGGTGAGTCTGGTTTTGGTACACCAAACTAAAACCTAACCTCCACCCCCACCCCCACCCTCATCCCCCCCAAAACAACCAAACCCCATGCCATCAAGTGGATTGTGTCTTGTAGTGACACTCTACAGACGGTAAATCTTTATGGAAGCCAACAGCCTCATCTTTCTCCTCAGGAGCGGCTGGTGGGTTTAAAGTGCCAACCTTGTGATTCAGCCCAATGCTGACCCCAGGGCACCACCAGGGCTCCTTAGGGCTGCGGAGTGGAGGATAACAGCTCATTACTGTCTATGGCATTGGGTTACGTTAAAATAAACAACCTGTCTTTCATAGATGCGTGATGTATTTATGGGTGAAATTTTATCATACCTACAAGTATTCCCCAATGTGACAGGAACAGATGCCACTAGAGTGGCAGGGCTATCATTAATAACCTTTAAAGCCGAGTGACAAGTACATGAACAGTTATGAAACTAATCTTTCCACTTCTGCATTTCTCTGACAAAAGGCATCACTGGGGTGCAAATATGGAGGAAGGCTGCCCGGTCTACTTCTTCCCGTGAAGGCATGTGCCCCCCGCTCCTGCCCCCAGTCTAAGCCACCACCACCCTTGCCCATGCCACCATCACTGGAAGGTGATGCCCAGTGACTTCTCCCCCGTGGTCCATCTGTGACATGGCCGGAGCATTCTGCTACATTCCTCCGTCAGGTCAAGTCACCCTGTTCAAAACCCTCCCCCAGTGACAGTGAGCACCCACAGGTGGGCTGAGCCCAGGCCCGGACCCTCTTCCAGTCTGCATGCTGCCCTCCTTGGCTGCATGATCTCCCCTACCCTGGGGACTTCCGTTCACCCTGGGCCCGCCTGCTCCAGCCACGACAAACTTCTGACCCGGACCTCTCTCATCTTGTCCTTGGCTTGGAGCCTTGGCTCTTGCTGTTCCCCCTGCCTGTTCCTTGTCTGTGGCCACCGTGGCCACCTCGTTCCCTGTGGCCCACCTCCTCCTCAGCGCAGCTCTCTGCTGCTGCCCATCTCCGAGCAACACCTGGGATGAGCCTAGCCCACACGGAGGAGCAGGGCTGGGAGAACGAGGCTTGCCAACCTCTTCACCAGGGTACTACACTGCACACTCAGACCCGGGCTGTCCACTAGGTACCCACCAGCCCCCTGTGAATACTTAGAGTCCAATGAATTAAGTAGAAATCAAATGTAAAGTACAGGGTCCTCAGGGACCCTGCTCACGGCTCTCTCTCCATGGCTACCTGTTGCTAGTGGCGACCGTAACCAAAGAGCGTTTCTTTCATTGCCACCGAGGCCTGCCAGGCAGGGCAGTGCTCGTTTGGGCCAGTGACACACCAGAGAAGCCACACTGCTGGGGAACCTCGCCAACACTCGTCCATCCTTTGCTTCCTTCAAAACCGACTCACTGGGCACCAGTTCTGTGTGTATGGCACACTCACGGGGAGGCCACTGCTGGGGGCGCCATTGGAATGGTGGTGTGGGTGGCGCCAGCCAGCAGATAACTGCAGGAAACAGATGGGCCTGAGAGGCGCGCTGGGCAGCTCTCGCACGCCCTGCGGGAAGCGACTGAGCTCCTCCTCACAACAGATGCAGCTGTCACTGCAGGGCAGTGGTGCTGAGAAAAACCCGGGGTCTCGGCAGGCCTCACGCTCCCTCGCCAGTCTGCCCCCGGCACTGGCGGGCTGATCTAGCCGATTAATCTGGGAGTCGCAAATACGTGACCCACGGCAGACACCCAGATCAATCCTGGCACCTTTCGGACGAGCCGGAGAGCAGCTTCCTGAGCCTCCGCTTCCCATCGCTGCTAGCAAAAGACATGCAGCCTGTCTGCACATGGGCTCTCTCTGTGCTAAGACTCGGTGTCCCTCAGCCACAGGATGGGGAGTGACACCTGATTGTTGGAGGGGGGGATGAGACGATTCATTCGTTCAGCTGTTTGTTCATGCAGCACGGGCTCACTGAAGGCCGTGTGTGCCCAGTACGTGTGGCATGCAGTCAGCAGCAGCTGTGACCAACGCAGACATCTACCTGTGTGCTGACTTCTAGGCCCCTGCTGCAGGCGGGTTACAGCCTCGAAGTCCTGCCTCCCTCCCAGGATCCCACATTCCCAAGGGGGCACCTGGTGGGGACAGAGGAGCCCATCAACATCAGCTGGGGCCTTCAGATTTTCAACAGGAGAGGCCCCCCTTTCCTAAGCGCTTCTCTTCCTCGCCCCTAAACGAGCCTTGGCTGAACTCGCTCCCCACACGGAACTTTTCTGGCTCGGATTCCCACACACAAAACACCATCAACAAGCCATGTCATCCGGGCCGAGTGATATTTCCCATCAACTCGCATTTTATCTCCGCGAAAACACACAGCAATAGCGTTCTCTGGAGAATATTAAATCAACCCGCCCTACAGCTGCGCTTGCTCGCACTTCTGTCCCTAGCAAATTTGGCAACAGATGATGGGTGTGCGTTATGTAAGTGGCACCCTGGCAGGGCCGGCAGCCCACCACGCTCCTCTGTGTTCATAAAAACACCTCGTCTCCCATCCCCCAGGCCCATGGCACGCCTTCAAGCCACGCTGTGCTCTCTGGAGACCGGCATTTGTGTGCAGGCTGAGAAGCAATGTGGGCCCCGACTGCAGGGGATGGCGCGTGTCTTCCCTGTCATGCAGCATGGGAAATCGGCTATCCTGGCCTGAGGTCCATCCTCAGCAACAGGGCCGAGCCCCTCGGCTCTGGCGGCCAGCAGGGCTTTTTCTTGACCTGTCCCAGGAGATGCTCATGGCCCCAGCAGGAAACTCCTACCAGGGCCTGAGGATGGGAGGACTGGGCCCAAGTCAGCCGTGCTGTGATGCTGGGCCTGGGGGACTGCCCTGACACACGCCAGGGCCCGGAGCAGGGACGGGGATGCAGGGTATATCCACAGCACCTTCCTCACAGGGTCCGGGGACCTTCTGTTTTCAAGTTTGTGCTTGAGGCCTTTGCGTTAAGACCCCACCCCAACCCTATGGGGAATAGGATGTCTCGGAGCCGCGACGGAGCCAGTGAGGACTGCCGTGGCAGCGTGGCCTCCGGAGGACAGGTGCTCAATCCATGTTTATGGAGGAGGTAGGTGCTGGCAAGTGGATTGGGGGAATTAACAGAAAGGGAGGGGGAGGAGGAACTACAGACACCCCTAGGGCGGGAGCCCCTGCTCTGCCTGTGACCTGCTTGTGACCTCCCAAGCCAGCCAAGCTCTCTTACCCGCACGGCTCATCTATAGCACAAAAGGGCCACGCAGCTGCTTATGGGCCACTGGGAAAGGCACACATTCATTGAGCAACCATGCACCTCAGCGGGGCAGTGGATGGGGCAGCGGTAGAGAGCGCTCAGTCTGGGCCCTCCAGTGTCTTCGGTGCGGTGAGCCAGCAAGGCAGGCAGGCAGGCGACAGTGCCTTGAGCTTCCGGGGAGACCAGGCAGAGCTGAACACTCGGAGCTGAGTAAGATGGGCAGGGCCAGGGCCCTCGGTGACATGAATGTGAGTGGTGTTGGAGACGCATGGGCAGCTGGTTCTGCTCAGGGGGGTGAGGTGAGCAAAGGGACAAAGATGGATGGGAGAGAGGCAGGACCTGGCTCAGGGGGACTCCTGGCTCCAATGTCACCCCCAAGGGGCTTGACCTTGATGTCTGAAGGTGGTGGCAACAGAGAAAGCTGATGAGAGCCCCCTGGTGGCTGCCGGAGGCCAGACTTGAGCTGGGGCCTGGATGCACCTTGGCCCTCGCTGACTTCACACCTGCAGTTCCCCCGAGCCCTGCGCTCCCGGCTGCCAGCTCTCCCCCAACAGCTCAGCGGCCTGCTCCCCCAAGCACATCATCCCCACACTGCTGGTCCCAGGTACATGCCCCCTCCCTCCAGGAGCCTCGTTCTGGACCTGGCCCGCCCTAGCTCAAAGGTGAGTTTAGTGTTGTACTGCACCCAAGCCAAAACAAAACTCACTGTTGGTGTCCCTGTAAGTCTGTATGGGAGTAGGAAGCTTCCTGTGGCATCAGAGGTGGTTTAGAACCACTGACCTGGTGGTGAACTGCCCAGTGGTGTCACCTTGATGCTGCCAGGGGAAATTCGGTTAGCTATGCATGGGAGCCCTGGTTACATGCTGGGCTGCCAACCGGAGGGTCAGCAGTTTGAAACCTTCAGCCGCTCCAAGGGAGAAAAAGGAGGCTTTCGACTCCCATAAAGAGTGACAGTCTCGGAAAACCCACAGGGACAGTTCTCCCTCGTCTTACAGGGTTGACTCGATGGCTGCTAGTCAGGTTTGTGGGGGGTTTTTCTGGTGCCGATGCTGGGGGGCTGCTAACTATAACGCTGGCATTTAGCGCCCATGGTAGCTCTTTGGGAGTGATGATGAAGCTGCCATGGAGACTCACAGCCTCAGGAAACCCTGGGGAGCCGTTCAACTCTGCCCAGCCAGGTTTCTCTGGGTCAGAATCAACTGAATCGCAGCGGGTATAGTTTGGACCACCCGGGATAGCTGGCATCGCGGTGGGGGCTTCTGGCAGAAGACGCAGAGGCACTGGCTGCCACTCCTACATGGACACCAGCGGTTGAAACTGAGAAGTGGCCACGCCTCCACTGGGGCACAGGCTTGCCAGTCTGGCACAGCACCACCCCCTCCTACCCCCACCCCACACACTCTCCCCATAAACCCTAGTCTCTTGTGTGCCGCTAGCAAGTTCAGGCCAAGGGCCGGCTAACTCCTATGCCTCCCCTTCTAGCAGCTTCGGGAGGAAAGTGAAACCGTGTTTGGCCTCGTGGCCATCAAGAGGAGGAGGAGGAGATGCACCGCGGGCTCTGTCCTGTCCTCCCAGCTTCGGGAACCAGGCTGCTGGCAGGCGGCTTGAGTGCCTAGCTGGGAGACCGGGCAGCCCTGGTACTTACGCCGTCAGCTGTCCAGTAATTCCAGACCTTGACCTTGGCCAGGCCAAAGCGGCGCAGCTGCTGTGTGTTGCGGATCACAAAGGAGAGCTGGAGCGGCGGCTTGAAGGGGCATGTCCACAGGGAGAGGTCCTTCTCGCTCTGGAAGGCCAGCAAGAAAGCAAAGTCATTAGCTCATTTCTGCCACTTCCCAAAATCAACCCCCGGTTTCTCTGGCCGGGGCTTGGGATAGGAAGCCAGGGCGCCTGCCACATGGCCTATCCCGGGAGAGGGACATCAGCTCTCACTCGGCCTTGGCCACACTCCAAAGGGCACAGACCCTGTCCAGGTGCCCAGCGGAGTCTTGAGGCCCTCTGCTCTCCCATCCGGATGGGATTAGAGATTAATCCAGATAATCAGCTCTGCAGAACTGTGGCAGCGTGGTGGGTTACCAGGTGGGCTTCAAATCTCAGGGGCAGCCATTCGAAACCACCAGCTGCTCTGAGGGAGAAAGATGAGGCTTCCCACTGCTGTCAGGATTCACAGTCTCGGAAGCCCACAGGCACGGCTCTCCCCTGGGCTCTGGGGTCGCCAGGCATCAGAATGGGCTCCAGGGCAGCCAGTTTGTGCTGAGAACCAGCTCCAGGCCTGTGCCAGGGTGGGAGGGACTCTGGAGAGGCCGGCAGGAAAGGAGCCTCCAGGGTTACGGGACCAACCAGCCCAATAGAGCCTTTGGTTCTCTTGCGCGGAGCCTTTTAACACAAAGAGACCAAAGAACAAAACTGGCTCGGCCATTTGTTGGGAAAGGGGCACAGCACGGCATGGCAAGGCCTTGGGATTTTGTCCCGTTGTTCCCTCTCAGGGCTCCCCAGCCTCAGGTCCCACTTCCACCTGCCAGGGAGCAGTCGAGGGGCTCTTCAGGACCCAGGGGCAAGAGCCCAGGGCCGGGCCACTGTTCCTATTTGCACCAAGGGGACTTGAGGCCATGGCCTGTGGTGGGAAAGTACAGGCAGGCGTTTGCCCTCAGCTCCAGGCCCCTCCTCTTTGTCCTCTTCTGGGCACTGTCCTGCTCTCCTTCTGGACGTGTCCCACAGCTGCTCCTGCGGCGCCCGCCTCAGAGCTTGGTGCAGGCTGGCTCCATGCAGTGCCCGTCCTGCTGCGGTGCTCTGGGGCACCCAGCTCTTCCTCAGCACGCCCCGCGACACGGCTACCCCTCCTCCGCTGAGCCCCAGGGCCCACGACTACCTGCTCGCCTGCCCATGCCACCTGCCCACTGGGAGTGGACTGAGTCAATGCCTTGCGAGAACTGACTCCTCATAGAAACTGGGGAGAGAAGGCAACAGGTCTGGCCCGCTGAGATAGTTTGGGTTGTGAAGTGTCTGTACTTTTTTAAGAGGCCAGGTCTCCAGGGACACTTAACGCCGAGGAGACAGAGTTCTACAGACGTGGACAGAAGCCATCGGGCAGTGTGGTGGCCAGGGCGGCACAGGCTGCAGGGAAGGACAGCCTCTGTGATGCCAAGTCATGCTCCCTGCAACTCCCTCCAACGCCACACCTGATCCACCTCGTTAATATTCCAGGCCCCACAGCCATCCGACTCTGGCCCCTGCCTCTGGGCTGTGGGGTCACAGAGACCCCAGCTGCTGGGGGTGACCCTGGCTGCCTCCCCTCCCCTCACCAGAGCCGCCTCGCTTCTGGAAGGGGAGCACCCCCGGCGGTGGAGGGCATCCCCACACGCTCCTGTCCCCAGGGGGGAGGAGGAGAATGGCTGGACCAGGCAGGGGCTCTGCAGTCCCCAGGGGGTGGGTGGCTCCGGCTCCAGCTCCAGCTGCTGGGGAGGACACAGGGGTCTTGTTCCAAGGGACAAGGGTGCCTTTCAGGAGGGAGGAGGTGGCTTTTGTTAAGCGGGGAGAGAGGAGTTCAAGGGGTTCTGACTTATGCTGTTGGCCAGCTTCTCCAGTGCTGCAAGTACGTCTTGTGCTCCGGGCAGCTGTGGGGGGGGGGGGGGGGTCACATCTCGAGAGGCAGCGGGCAAGGCTTGGCCCCTAGCTGAGCGGGGACTTGAAGTGGGTCGTGGTGGCCGCCTGACGGAGGAAGAGGCTGCAGCCTGACCCGCAGAGAGGGCTGAGCGGCTTGTAATTAGCTTCCCTTCACCTGCCCGTCAGCAGCAGGAGCAGGAGCGGTGTTCAGTCAAAGCCCATTTACCTGCAGGGAACCCAGGGCCTCGTTAGCAACAGGGCCGTCTGACGTGTCCTGGCCTCACACATGGCCTTGGGGAGAGAGATGGATCAGCAGCCTCCGAGGGCTGACCCGAGGCATGCTGGGGAGGTGCCCAGGTGCCAGGCTGGCAGGCAGGACGCTCCTTAACTGCTGCTCCTCCCCACCGTGGGGGCCAGGCAGATGGCAGGGCAAGAAGCCAGGGCCCTTCCTCGCCATCATCTTCCTCAGCCCTCTCAAGCTCGGGACTGAGTGCCCTCGGGTGCCCCACACGCAAGTGGTACAGCAAGGATTGGAACCTAGACTGTTTGTTCATTAAAACACCTGTCCTGGTTTGGGTGCAACCCCCACCCCCAGTAGACCCCGAGGCAAGGGGGAGGGCATCTTGTTTGTTTAGACCAGGGGTCCTCAAACTTTTTAAACAGGGCCACATTTGTAGGCCACTGGACATCCCCTTACAGAAGGGTCTTGGGGAGGAGATGAGCCAGTCAGGGTGCGATGTAGCAACAATGAAACATCCAACTTTCCTCTAGTTCTTAAATGCTCCCCCACCCCCCTCCACTATCATGATCCCAATTCTACCTTACAAGTCTGGCTAGACCAGAGGATGGACACTGGTACAGATGGGAACTGGAAACACAGGGAATTCAGGGTGGATGAT